TTTGGGGTTTTTAGGGGGGTTTAGGGCACCCCTGGGACCCCTCCCCAAATTCCTGGGAACCCCAAAAAACCGGGAATGACCCCCCCCAAAAAAATTTGGGATAATCCCTTGAAATTTGGGATCCCGCAGGGTTTGGGGTTTGGAGTTTGGGGTTTTTCGGGTTTTTTCGGGGGTTTTTGGGGTATCTGGATGGGATTTTCGGGGATTTCCCGCCGGGATTTTGGGGAATTTTTCGGGAATTCCCGTCTGTCCCCCCAGGGTTGGTTTTGGGTTAAATTTTGGGATTTTGGTGGTTATTTCTGGGACTCAGATGGGATTTTTTGGGATATTGGGATGGGATTTTTGGGGTACCCCGATGGGATTTTTGGGATTCCAATGGGATTTTTTGGGATTCCAATGGGATTTTTGGGATTCCAATGGGATTTTTGGGATTCCAATGGGATTTTTGGGATTCCAATGGGATTTTTAGGATTCCAATGGGATTTTTTGGGATTCCAATGGGATTTTTGGGATTCCAATGGGATTTTTTGGGATTCCAATGGGGATTTTTGGGATTCCAATGGGATTTTGGTGGGATTTTGATGATTTTTTGGGGTACCCCAATGGGATTTTTTGGGATTCCAATGGGATTTTTGGGATTCCAATGGGATTTTTGGGATTCCAATGGGATTTTTTGGGATTCCAACGGGATTTTTGGGATCCCAATGGGATTTTTGGGATTCCAATGGGATTTTTGTGGGATTTTGATGATTTTTTGGGGTACCCCAATGGGATTTTTTGGGATTCCAATGGGATTTTTTGGGATACCCCTCCGGGATTTTCAGGAATTCCGGGAATTCCGTGTGTCCCCGCAGGTTCGGCTTCGGGCTGCCCACGTCCCGCGCCTACGCCGAGTACCTGGGGGGGTCCCTGGCGCTGCAGTCGCTGCAGGGCGTCGGCACCGACGTCTACCTGAGGCTGCGGCACATCGACGGCAAGGCCGAGAGCTTCCGCATCTAGGGGGGCTTGGGGGACCCCGAAATCCCGGGATCGGGGCGGGGAGAGCCGGGAGAACCTTCCGGACTCGGGGTTGGGTCATCAGAACCTTCCAAAATAGGGGTTGGGTCATGGAGAACCTTCTAGAATTGGGGTTTGGTCATCAAAACCATGGAGAACCTTCCAAAATTGGGTTTTGGGTCATGGAGAACCTTCTAGAATTGGGGTTTTGGTCATCAGAACCTTCTAGAGCTGAGTTTGGGTGATCAGAACCGTGGAGAACCTTCCAGACTTGGGGTTGGGTCATGGAGAACCTTCCAGACTTGGGGTTGGGTCATGGAGAACCTTCTAGAATTGGGTTTGGGTCATGGAGAACCTTCCAGAGTTGGGGTTTGGTCATCAGAACCTTCTAGAGTTGGGTTTAGGTCATCAGAACCTTCTAGAGTTGGGTTTTGGTCATCAGAACCATGGAGAACCTTCCAGACTTGGGGTTGGGTCATGGAGAACCTTCCAGAGTTGGGGTTTGGTCATCAGAACCTTCTAGAGTTGGGTTTTGGGTCATCAGAACCTTCTAGAGTTGGGTTTTGGGTCATCAGAACCTTCTAGAGTTGGGTTTTGGGTCATCAGAACCTTCTAGAGTTGGGTTTTGGTCATCAGAACCATGGAGAACCTTCCAGAATTGGGGTTTGGGTCATGGAGAACCTTCCAGAGTTGGGTTTAGGTCATCAGAACCAAGAAGAACCTCCCATATTTGGGTTTTGGTCATCAAAACCATAAAGAACCACCCAAATTTGGGGTTTGGTTCATCAGAACCACGGAGAACCTTCCAGAGTTGGGTTTTGGGTCATGGAGAACCTTCCAGAATTGGGTATTGGTCATCAGAACCAAGAAGAACCTCCCGAATTTGGGGTTTGGGTCATCAGAACCAAGAAGAACCTCCCAAATTTGGGGTTTGGGTCATCAGAACCATGGAGAACCTCCCAGAGTTGGACTTTTGGGTTTTTGGGGTGGAGGTTCTGCGGTGGAATCGCCCGAAGTCGGGGTTTGGTCATTAAAAATCACGGAGAGATTTCAAGGTTTGGTCATCAAAAGCAAGGAGAACCTTCCAGAGTTGAGTTTTGGGTCATGAAGGTCATGGAGAACCTTTCAAAGTTGGGTTTCGGGTCATGAGGAACCTTCCAGAGTTGGGTTTGGGTCATCAGAACCATGGAGAACCTTCCGGAGTTGGGTTTGGGTCATCCAAACCATGGAGAACCTTCCAGAGTTGGGTTTGGGTCATCAGAACCATGGAGAACCTTCCAGAGTTGGGTTTGGGTCATCAGAACCTTGGAGAACCTTCCAGAGTTGGGTTTGGGTCATGGAAACCAAAGAGAACCTTCTGAATTTGGATGTTTTTGGTGGAGGTTCCCCAGTTGATTCCCCAAAGTTGGGTTTTGGTCATCAAAACCATAAAAGAACCTCCCAAATTTGGGGTTTGGGTCATGGAGAACCTTTCAAAGTTGGGTTTGGGTCATCAGAACCTTGGAGAACCTTCCAGAGTTGGGTTTGGGTCATCAAAACCATGGAGAACCTTCCAGAGTTGGGGTTTGGTCATCAAAACCATGGAGAACCTTCCAGAGTTGGGTTTTGGGTCATCCAGGTCATGGAGAATTTCCCAAATTTGGGTTTTGGGCCATGGAGAACGTTCCAAAGTTGGGTTTGGTCATCAAAACCATGGAGAACCTCCCAAATTTGGGTTTTGGGCCGTGGAGAATGTTCCAAAGTTGGGTTTGGTCATCAAAACCATGGAGAACCTTCCAGAGTTGGGTTTTGGTTCATGAGGACCCTTCCAAATTTGGGTTTGGTCATCCAGGTCATGGAGAACCTTCCAGAGTTGGGTTTTGGGTCATGGAAACCAAAGAGAACCTTCCAAATTTGGGTTTTTTTTGGTGGAGGTTCTCCAGTTGATTCCCCAAAGTTGGGTTTTGGTCGTGAAGGTCATGGAGAACCCCAAAAATCCGGGATTGGGGGCAGGGAAAGGCGGGAGAACCTTCCAGAATTGGGCTTGGGTCATGGAGAACCTTCCAGAGTTGGGTTTTGGTCATCAGAACCAAAGAGAACCGCCTAAATTTGGGTTTTGGTCACGAAGATCATGGAGAACCTCCCAAATTCGGGTTTTGGGCTGTGGAGAACGTTCCAAAGTTGGGTTTGGGTCATCAAAACCATGGAGAACCTCCCAAATTTGGGTTTTTGGGCCCCCCCCAAACCCCCTCATTTAAAGCCCCGCCCATTTCCCCGCCTCCCGCGCGTTCCCGCGCTTTGCTCATCCCATGGCCCCGCCCATCGCCCCGCCCCCTCTCTTTCCCGCCGGACCGCACCACCGCGCGGGCCCTCAGAAAAGAGGGGGGCGCCCCCCCCCCCCCCCCCCCCCCCCCCC